CCAGGCCCTCGTTTTAAACAAGCGTGACTTTGAAAAACATGTTTGCTTCTGAGCTGACATTCATTTGCTAGTGTTGTTGGCATAGTTTGCCTGCAGTGCTAACAGCACTTCCTTCCATATTTACCTCATCTTGATCATTTTAATATTTATTGAATGTATATTTCATAGCAGCAGTTTCATGAGCAATTTCATCTTTCATATGGAACACAGCCATGATTATTCAGTGTTGCATAAGCACAAAAGAAATCCCTATTGAACGTGTAAAGTTAATTTTAATTGAATTGAATTTGTTGCTCTTGTTTTTTTTTCTTTCTGTTTAGGAGAAATATTTTTATTCACCAAGGAGTTCAAATGTTTCTTTTATTTGCAATTGCAATTTAAAAAAAAAGGATGTGCTGATGTTTCACATTAAAAGCCCTCTATGCAGAGAGTAAAAACACCTTTAAGATTTTTATTTAATAGTTTTTCATGGAAATGGAGTCACCCTGCAACCTACAAGCGTTTGATTACTAGTGTGTCTAAGTGCACAATTTACTACCTTTGAATGAACTTTCTATGGAGCGTTGCTTTCAACAGTGATGCCAAGAAAAGATTCGGTGCAGTGACAAAATTCAGCTTTAGAAAAAGACGAAAGGCTAATGACAAGTGATAAAAAGTCTTGTTGTATCACTGTTGCATTTGTAACTTTGATAGTTGTCCCCTGTGTAGTTAAAGGAGTGTAAATTTTCAGTTTGAATTCAATTTTATTGTATTTATACAGCAGCAAATCACAACAGTCAACTCAAGGCGCTTCACATTGTAAGGTAGACCCTACAATAATATGGAACAGGTATTTTCTGAAAATACAATATTTGGCATCTGGTTAATTTTGACCCTCTGTAATTGACCAATAGTTTGTTGCTCATGAAAAGCCAGTTGATTGATGGATTAACCCAGATTGGTTATAACCACTTCATAAACATAAAAAAATTATTTATTAATTTTTTTATGGTACAACTCTACTAATGGTTTATTGATTTCTGATCAGTGGAGCGTAAACTTCCCATCTGTGTCAACAACCACAAATAAAACACTACCCACCAGAAATGCAAAGCAAGCCCCCCCCAAAAAACTGCAACAGAAAACTAACTGGATTCTCAACAAACACAATACATGATTATGTGTGGATACATTTTGTAGGCGGGCTGATCATCAGCCCATCAGGCCCATGCTGTCAGGATAATGTTGCAGATTGATCTGTGATTGAAGTTTAATTAACATGAGCCCGAAAACCCGTAAAAACCTGTTACAGTGTTTTTGGTGCCCAGCTTTAATGACTGGCTATAATCTTGTAGGGTGTTTACTGCTGCATAAGAATCATCAGTATTAGTTCCATTATTTCATTTCAAAAGATGCTCTTAATTAATTGTTCTAGTGATTCATTCGTCGCTTTGTTTTTTTTCTTCGATGCAATTAATCCTTTGGTGTGTCCTTGGTGAGAAAGTGTCTCTCTCTTCATCTGAATACATTTTAAATGAGCTGCCTGTGGCTTGAGTATAAATTTGATGTTATTTTTTGCTCTTCTGCGGTGGCAGAATTTCATCAGATTAGCAGCGCGTCTGGTTTAGAAGTCGCCGTTGTGCCTCCTGCCCTGCTCTGAGTCTCGTCTGGCAGTGTTGTGTTGCACTGGGCAGGGCTTGGCACCGTGTGCAGGGGGGACAGATGGTCTTACGTGTGATCTAGTTTGAGGTCCAGAGCCGTACCCCGACAGGGACCCTGGCAGCTGATAAGCCTGGCATGACGTCCGTGGTCCCTGGGTGGGACTCCGACAGCGACTGCGACACGACGGGCCACCCAGGTGTCGGCCAGACAGAGACACTCTCCTCCTCTCTTCCAGCCACCACAGCCAGCTGTTTCATCTCTGCTGTTACCATAACAAACAGGAAAACATTACAAAACAGGCCTGAAAATCTGTTCAAACACCATGATAAAACTATAATGCCAAGATAGCCACAATATTTCCAGCAATTTGCACCAGTTGAGTAACCCAACAAGCCAGGTTTATTATACCCACAGCATGTAAAGCATACTGAAGGGTGAAATCAAGCAGCAGACAGATATTTTCAGACAGCTTTAGCACAGAAGCTTAGTGGGTGGGCGGGTGGTTGTAACGTCTAAGCTTTTTAATGTGTCTACAATTGTGCGTGCCAGCATTTTGGGAGCGATAGGTTTGATGGATGGAGACAGGCTGAAGCCGAACTGCAGCGCTGCCGTTTTGTTGCCGCTCGCGTTATTCATGATGTTGTCGTGCATGAGGTTATCACAGCAATGCTCTCATCCCCCCCCTAACGCCGTGTCACCAATCCGCGGCTCTCAGCACCAGGAGACTCATCAAGTCATCATAGATCAACTCATGTTGTCATGGATGGCATTGAAAAAGTAACAAGGGCAAGCTATCGGGTGCCCGGATAGTACAGCAGGAGCTGAAAACTGCATTTATTTTAGCCAACCTGCGTGACTCTGGGTTGGCTGGCCTGATGCACTCCACGGTTAGTCAGCACTCCCACCGCTTTGCCAGCTCAGCTTTTATTCCTTGCCCTGGAAATTGAGTTTTGCTGGCCCTGTAATGTACTCAAAACTACATCTGCAACTGACTGATAAATCTACGCTTTGTTGCACCTGACGGATAGCTGTGAAAATGAAAATTCACCGCGGCACGTTGCTGTGTCAGGAGGAAGGTCACTTTAGATTTGCCTCTTCCCCACTCAGGATGATGCCAAAATGACCATTTTGTCTCAGAATCCAGTCGCAAAGCTAAACTATCTTCTTAAGCTCGTTCTGTACGATGCGACGACAGGTTTATGTATTGTTTCGTTGAACTGCTGTCTCTCCCTGGCTGCATGGCAACACTATGAGAGCAGGCTTAAAAAAGCACAGCTCCTTCCACGATGAGTAAATAATATCCATTATTTGCTGAGGGAGAATGGCTTTGTATTTACACAGCAGTGATTGTGTGTGCCGCGTTACATACATGAGGGTGCTATTCGGCCAGCTTGATAAATACCACAAGACAGCAGATCTTTATTGCAGACTAGCAGTTGGGGTCTGACACTCCAAAGACCAATTTCAGAGCGTTAACAAGGCCTGGACAGGAATACCTCACAGCAAAATGTCACAAGGCCTCCCTTTCCGCACCTCTTTACTCTTCCCCTTCTGCGGCTCCCCTCTCGGTTCCACCATCAGCTCTCCTCCGGACATTCAGCGAATTGTAGTTCCTCTCTTTCAATTTGCCCACCATGTTACCTCGTTCCACAATGTGCTGCCCCGGGGGATCGTGGGTAGGCAGGAGCGGTGGCCCCAGCCAGGTCCGCAGAGAGCTGATAACCTTTCAGTGTTGCTTTAGCACGCTGTGTAAAGAACAATCAGTGCTTATCAACCTCGACGACAGGCGAATGTTAATTCAATGTCATGCAGTCAGGCTGCAGCGGGAGAATGGGAGCATCACTTGGTTACGCTGTGACAGCCTGACGTCTTCTGCCAACAAATAACTTTAAGAAGACTGGAGAAAGGCTTGTTTTTGATTGCCTTTCTGATATGTAATCTCCTCTCTCTAATCTATCTATAAAATGCTACTGAAAATGAATTTAAGGTTTACAGACCCCTGCAGCTGTCATTTGTGTCACAACTGCATAAAGTCTAAAAACAATAAGTCCAGCGCCATAGCAATACTGACATCAGAAATAATACATTTGACATTTGCGAGGGCCTAAAACCAAATTACAGCTGCTAGCCTGCCACTAACATGTTGGCCAAATGCCTCCATAAGTGGGTTTACTGTGTTGTTTGTGGTTTATTTTGAGTAAAACCTGCTAGAAGTGCTCAAATAATGTCACTGTCCATTGGGGCTTAAGACTGCAAGTTTGAAAGTGTAAATCTGGGGGTGCTGAGTGCAACAAAAAATAAAATAAAAATAAAAAAGCGGTCTAACCAGACATCTGCAATCCATTTCCTTCTATTATTCACCTTCGCCGCCTCAACAATTCCCAATCTGTCACTGATCTGTTAATGTTCAATTTGCATTGTGGGTTTGTTGGCATCAGGTTTTGACAAGAAGAATGTGTAGACTGAAAAACCCATGGTGCTGCTGCATCAATTTTACTAATGCATTTGTCCATGCTAAAGGAACACAGTTTTCTCCTCCCACAGTTACTGGACAACAAGACACATGTAAAAAACAAAAATATATATAATATATAATAATTTTTGAAAAAGGCCCCCTGTCTGTTATTACAATCTGCGTTTTGTGTGTTTTTTGACCAATTTTCAGTCATGTCATTTGTCACGTTCTAATATGGCCACAATGATCTCCAGTGTATAAAAGCTATGATCTCTTTAGGTAGGCAGGCTAAAAACAAATAATCGCCTAAATTGTGGCTACACCTGTAAAACACAATGGAGATATGCCACCACCACCACAGCCTCCAGCTAATTAGGACCTCAGTGGGGGAAAAAGATGGATTCATCTGCTCTCTGATGATGCCAAGAAAAATGAAGATGTGTGCATTTTGTAACAGGATCAAATTTATGGCCAAGCTGTAGCTGGACTCAACTTCTCAGAGTATAATTTAGCTTAAACAAATGAAACATTATTATGTTTTAATTTCCACCAAGAAAAAAATGTCAAAACGGGAAGAGGGGGGTAAGCAATCTTTCTGTGCAGTTGCAGTGAAAGCTTGCATTAGCAAGAGAGTAATTTATGGACCGCCAGCTGGCCTGTAAAGGTTACTACCACAGGCAATTCTGACATGCTAGTTCAACAAGAACCTCATTAAAATACTACAGGCTTTTAGAGACATCAACGTATAAGGTTACCTTTGTGTCTGGTGAGCATAAAAACAACAGATTTGTTTATTATGGGGGAAAAAAAGTTGACTTTTTCTGCAGTTTTTCTCTCTCGCTCTGTGAATCTGTCTCTCTGTCTAATTTACCTCTTTGACCTGATGTCTTTCTTTGCCTTCCAGCACGAATTGTTCGCAGCCGTCAGTGGTGTGAGATGGCTCCCTGCATGGAGGGGGAGGTCTGCAGCCTCCTGTTCAACCGATCCGGCTGGACCTGCACCAGGGGCAGTGGTCGCATCAAGACCGTCACGGTAATTTACTAGACGTGACATTAATATACGCCATATGCACATAACAGCAATGCGCCTACATTTTCAGCATGAGCGAACCCCCGCCAGCCGATAGTGTCAGGTGAAGCCTGAGCCCTGGGCTACAGGGAGTATATTTCAGTCAAACAGCAGGTCAGCATCCAGGTTTCAAACACTGCATCAATAGTGGAACAAAGATGCCAGAAAATTCATGCAGCACTGCTCTCTGTGGGATCAAACTTTGAAGATTTTTTTAGATATCTTTAGGCCTCAGTCTGGTTTGTTTTACACTTTTACAGGAGTTTTGAATTTTGGTAATTCAAACTTTTGAAACACTGAAGCCTGAATCTGTAGCATATACAGTAATAGTGGTGCAAAGATGTGTTGGCAAGTGCATAGGAAGAAAATCTCATGAAATTAGTGAAATCATCATTAGTTTTTACTGATCTGCAGCTCCTAAGTATAAGATGTTCAGCTACAGAGCTGCTGCATCAGCCCTGTGCTGTATCACATTTGCACTGAAAGCAAGCAGTGTACCATATTACCCGGGCTACTTGTGGAAAACTTTCTTTTTCCTACATCCTGGATTATTTTACAGAATGGCTTAAACACACTAGCCAAGACTCAGTCATCTCCTCCCAAAGCTAAAACAAATCATTTGAAGCCAGTCAAATCTGAATCTGACACCAAATCACGAGCTAGGAACTGTAGTTATTATTCTGTCTTTGTGTTTTTATGGAGAAGGTGGAAGCTGATGGAAAACATCTGCAAATGCAAATGCAAGACAGATATATGTAGTATGTAAAAATGTTGACCAAAGCATTAGGCAGTGTGCAGACAGATAACATTAGTGTCTGACCTCTCTCTGACTTTGTTAGAGATTTAAACGAATGCAAAACATGTTGAATTTTTAAAACCCTCAATATGGTGTCATCTGGTCCTCTGTAGGCTCCTCTCACAGTGCATCCAATGCCTCAGAGCTGCCAGTGCTGCATCGCTTACTGAGCACTGATTAATTCTCATTTGATTAAGCAGCGAAACAATGCACAAGGAGCATTGCTAGTCTCCACGAGGGTTAACTTCATATATTTTTTGTATCAATGCAAAAGAATAATCATTATGAATGCGTTTGAAAGCAAAGAATAAAGAAAAATATCTACCCTCCAGACATTACTGCTTGTTTAGTGAACATTAGAGTCACCATGGATACAGGTCTCTCTGTCACTGTGTGCTTCACACTATATCTCTTGGCAATTTCACACTATGCAGCTCTATGCTCCATGAAAATGGAGCAATTTTGTATTCTTTCTGTACAATTCAATGTAATGCATTTCTCTTAGCAGGTGGCCACCTTCCTGCTATGACTTGTGGAGATATGGTGTTGATAACCTTTCTTTGACAAGTCATGGAAACAAATACACTTCCTCCAAAAAACGTCAGCCGATCCCAGTTATACTGCTGGCATGTCCTCTATACTTTTGTTTAGAATGGTTTGCGCTTCCCACGTTCATGAAAATTTTGAAGAGGGCCTAACGACTGTTGGTGACAAGCTCGGCTGGACAAGTTTCTTTTTAGTCATCTGCTCCTTGAACAGCAAAGAGCCAAACTGTGGCCATTAAATCTCTGAGCCAACTGGCTCAGACTTTATAACCCTTCAAATTTTATTTCTGCACCACCTTTTTGCATTTACCAGTGTTACCTTGCTTGCTCGGCTTTTCGCTGTCATTCCCAGGGTGTCAAATACAGATTGTGCAGATCTGTCACAGAAATCTGCACAAGTTGTCTTCTGGCATCAGCTGCAGCAGTATCAGACACCGAGGCCTAACAATCTGCCAATGCATGATAAAATCTACGGCGGTGGAGAGAAAAAAGTTTATTTGTTAGCCAAGAGACTGGAGCTTTTGTCACATATTTTGGGCATATTAATGGCTCAGTCATACTAGCGGAAAAATAGGACAGCAACCTTCTTGCCAGTAGGAAAAACTGGTGGTTGTTGTCAATTAAAAAAACAATTGCAGTGACCCAAAGGTTGAACGTGCAACCCTCTCAACCTCTGGGTGATCGCTTATGATCACAAGGGGATTGCGCAGGTTGCCTGGGGAGAGACAACCTGTCTCCAAACAACCGCTGTCTGTCTCATTCCCTCGGACTCTCAATCATTCTCAGAGTGAAGATGTGCAAATAATTGCCATTAAATTTAAAAATGCAGATGGATTCCCAACATATTGCTATCCATCTGAGTTAGTCAAGTGCAACCCTTTTAGACAGACTGGAAATGGTTGCAGACCTATTCCCTTTTTTCAAAGGCGACAAGATCATCAAGCTCTTTGCACATGATTGGCAGAATTCTGGCTGCAGCAGTCTCCAGCTAGTGTTGTTGCCTAATGTAGCATGAGATATCTAGAAATGCTTAGCATCTCTTGACAATGCTTCGGATGAAAACAGGATTTTTTGTTTTTAACTCCAGATCTTAAACTTTATACCAGTTGCTTCGTCTTGGTAAATATCAAAACAAACTGAATACACACAATCACTGAAAAATAGTCTTTTTTTAATGAATAAAAACATAATTTCTGTCAGTGAGTATCAATCTAAAAAACCTTGCTTTGGACTCAGGACTTCAGTTCTGCATGTAGGAAAAGGATTTGCAGTGAAAGTACGATCAAATATGAGACCGAGAGGTCCTGTGCAAGCATCCATGCGCAACAAATTGGAACTGAGACCAATCTCAATGTTGGCATAAACCCATTGTGTCACAGCGCCAATGCCAAAGTGCCAGTTTGTATATATCTGTGGAATACCATGTCCTTTAAGCTATCTCCTTTCAACAGAACATACATGAGTTCATTGGATCTTTTAAATAACTGTAAGTGGCTCAATACAAAGAAGTAGGCTCATATTTATGGACAAACACTATTTTGATTGTACCTTCATGCCAGTAGAGTGAATACATTTTTTACCTGCCTGATATCTGCCTCAGGTAAGATTATGTCAACAGAAAGAAACAGAGGGGTATAACTTACAGAGGCAGTGCAAGTGAAACAGCTTGGTGTTGTCAGCAAGAGATGACAAGATGGACAGAGCAGGAGAGACCGCTGTCCTTCCCGTCAGGTACAAGGCCAAAGGTCAGCCTCTGACCGGCTCTGTTGATTTTCACTCTCTCTTATCTCTCTCATTTGATGTCTCTTCATCTTGTTCGCTCCTCTGCCTCCTCCGTCCAGCAGCCCTGGGCAGCTGTGACAGATTTCACGCATGCATTCCCGCCGTGCTGTAATGTATCCTGACAGCACACTTAGGTTAGTGTTTTGCTTTTTGTACATACATATACAAAAAATGCAAATGATGTGTTCCTCTGCACATTCTTAATTAGCTGTTGCTGAGCAGATTTTTGTTGAAGAAGTTAATCTGAAGTGATGTCAGTGGGTTTCTTTTTTTTGGGGGGGGGGGGGGGGGGGTTGCTTGTTTGTTTTTTTCTGTTATGTATTTTTGAGGGGGCAGGGATAGGAAGGATTTGGCAGTAGAAAAGAGGAGGTATCAAGAGGTATTTGTTGTAAGACCTAAAATGGGAGGAAAGCACATTCTGGAAGATAAATGAAAATGAGAAATCTATAAAGAGGATTGATCAGGCTGGAGGGGGGATAGAAGGATGAAGAGAGAGAACAGGATGGAGGACTTGGCTGCTTCTCGGCCTCCGGCCAAGCTCTGTCTGTCCACATCTGCAAGTATCTGGGAGAAGGAGAGTGCAGAGAGGAGGTTTTAATTGTGAGACAATCTGTCTTCACGTGGTTAATAATCATATTACACACTGGCATTCGGGGAGTGTGGTTTTCTGAAAGCTGATAATGGCTCTTTATTCATGCTGAGGTGCACAGGTTTGATGTAGGTGGAGCTAGCAGATACAACAAAGTGACAAATCTACCTGATGGTGACAAATTATGCAGAAAGCCATGCATCCAATAAAAGACAATGTGGTTAGAATAATTATACATTGAAGCCGACGTTTTTTCTTTTTCATATCTAAGTCCAGTATGAAATCTCTTTCTAATAACTTATCAAATCTATATGAATTCAGTCAGCCAGCTAGGGCTGCCACGATTAGTCGACTAGTCACGATTACGTCGACTATCAAAATCGTCGACGACTGATTTAATAGTCGACGCATCGTAAGATCACAAAAGAAGCAGGAATAAGTAGTAGGATTTAAGAGTGTAATAACGGACTGAAACAGAAGATGGCAGCACTGCATGTACAAGGATGCCAGCTGCCGTTAAACCCTGAAGAAGAAGAAGCTTTGTCCCAGAATTCATAGCGCAGCCCAGCTCAGTTTCCAACAATGGCGGCAGCTAGTTAGTTTTAATATTATTCTATTACTCTTATTATTCTTTCTGGGTCACAAAATAAACGTTTAAAATATTTTTAGGTGCGAATGTAGCTGTGTAAACCTCAAATATCTGCTCAGTTTATCAAGACACCACATATTTTCAAAAGCGCTCCGACGTTTTCGGAGACGTCTGTTACCCACCAGCTCGATAGCTAGCCCGGGGGCAAGGCTCACTAGAGCCCGTGAGAACACCGGACTCCCGGCAAATCGTTTTCAAACCCACCGCCGTCTTTCGCTAGTCAGGTTAAACATATATAAGTCACATTTTTTAGTATTTTATTTGTTGCTGAGTAAATCGGTTTGGCTAAGATTAAAGTTATAGTTTTTACAAAGCTGAATAAACGTCAAGCAGACAGCTGATTATCAGAAGTGTGAGATGCTGGCGAATATAGCAAGGAGTTTATTAAACTTCACCGAAACAATCTGCAAATTTCATTGAAATTTAATAAACTATCATCTTTTAATTTCTGTGCAGCAGCATCTTTCATCGTCTTTAGTTTTAGTTAGCACAGACCTTAAACACTTAAAGCTGTAAGCTAATGATAGTTATATAAGAGCAGATGCTGCTGGTGCAATAAGCTGTAGCTGTACATCCAATGGAGGCATGATCTGATTAGTCGAC